TCACGGATTTGGTCCGTGACTAGTTTTTCACGGTCGTAGTCACGAACTAGTCACGGACTTTCAAAAAAAAATAGTCACGGATATGACCGTGACTACGCCCGTGACTAAAAATAGTCATGGTTATATCCGTGACTGCTTTATTCCGGACAACCCACGTTTGCCTCCGGCAGGATTTTTTTTGAATTTTAAATTAGTCACGGGTAGATCCGTGACTAATTCCGTGACTAGGCCCAACAAATAAATTTTCCAACGCCCAAAAGTTAATTCGGACTGGTAATCTGTACAGACGAACGTAGTCACGGACAAATTCGTGACTATTTTTTCCATATATGCAGCTGCTGGTTCATCCACATAAACACACAAACTGTTTAGAAAAACAACAGAAAAACAACACATTGAAGGATGTAATCTAGCCATCTTCTATCATTTTCCCTGTTTATGCAAATAAGGTATGTAATTTGAATTACGTTTTTGTGTGTAAATTATTTGGTTCATATTAACTGTAGCAACAAGTTAAATTAGCTAGAGAGATTATTAATATGTAAATTTCATTTAATTTTGTGAAATTTGGTTAGTTAAACGTAGGTTTAATCGTAGTGACGCATTAAGTTAAATTAATTAGCTAAATTAGTTAAATTTTTGTTAATATTAGTTAAATGTAATATAATATTTTTTTTTATCATAGTATGAATAATATATTTATTACTTATTAAATATTAATGATTGTTGGATAATTGATACCCATATCCTATAACTAAGAGAGATTGAACAAGAATAAAAAAGAGTAATGGAAAAGAAGAAGAAAATGTGTATAGAGTGTGAACTATGAGTTCTTGAGTTGTGAGTTTACAAGCCTCCTATAAGGAGTATATATAGGGAAAATCCGGGTCGGGGCCCTTAATACGGGCCTGACAGACCCGGTTACATAAATGGACTGATAGTATAAAAAGCTATTCTAGAACATTTGAATAATAATGTACAATAATATGAATCCGCTAAACGTGTGTGAGCCGTTGTCCAGGCCCAGTAGTCGGCATACCGGGGGATCGGAGTCCATATACTCCATCAGGAGTCCCCCACTCCCTGAGTCGAGAGTACTCGAGGCCAAAGGGAGTAGTCCAACCTGTAGCTGCAGCGTTCTTCTGTCTTTGGTTTCTTCCTCTTTGGCCGAGGGACCACCACCCTTGTCAGTGATGGGGAGATGCCTCGTTAAAAACCTTTACTAGGAAAAAACTCAGTGGGAAAAAATCCTAATAAAGGGAAAAAGAGTAGACCTAGCGCCCCCAACATAAAACAAGGAAGGTAAGTCTCCTCCGGCATAATCAATCTAGCTCAACTCATCTTCAACCGACTCAGCTCTCGTTCCTGCTCATGTGTGATATTTTCTGCTCTTCTAGAAACTCTGACCCCTCAGTCCCCCAGTCCCCACTCTTTGAGGCGAGTGGAGACAAGGTGAAAATGAGTAAAGTCATCTCTGTACCTACACATTTATCATACATATAAAATCTTTTTCTTGGGATTTATGTTTCCTATCGGGAGTTCGTTATTCGAAACAAGTGGAGATGTGAATTGTTAATGTAATGATTAAATACTTAGTAGAATGGATGTGTGAGCCATTCGTAAGCAACGGTCGCCACTCGAGGAATGACTAAGACCGGTCTTCGTGCCTGACTTGGTCGGGGCTTTGTGCCTGAGGAGTCAAGGCTTTGTGCCTGAGGAGTCAGGGCTTTAAATCCTAGTGATGGGTCTCAAGCCACACTCTACTAGGCATTTGATCATAAGTGCGTGATAGTGTGACATTCACCCGAAAAAAAATGATTAAAATAAATATAAATAATATGAAAATTAAAGAGTACTTATCTTTTGATGGGCTAAAATATTGGACTGTGTGGGCTGATAAAGAAATTGGGCTGAAATTTGACATGTTGCTGAGATTGGCCCATTATTGAATTTGATTGTAGCAAAAGATGGTTCAGCCCGTTATTCTTGATGAGAGTCAGTTGGCCCGTATAAAAAATTATATCTTGACTCATTGACCAATTTTGCCCAGCTTTTGCCCATAAGTTTTGTTCGCCCAAATTGAGAGATAAATCAGAGAAGAAGCCCCATAGTCCTGTCAAGCTAGCTGGATTAGCTGGATATCCCACATGAGGAGATGGCAGACAGCTCTGCGGTCTTGTTCTGCAGTCTTGTTCCCATGGACCCACACTAATGGCAGAAGTCTTGCTGGCAGGCCTTAGAGAAGTCTGGTCCTTCATCTCTCGCAGCTGGCATTAGGGGGTGGAGGAGAAAATGTCTTCCGCAGAGATGATATGCGATTAGCTAGGCGTTGGGCAGGGGAGATGCGCTCGGTCCTTACTGCCGCCGGAAATGGAGGCGAGTGAAAGAGAGTCGACCGCGGGTCAGAAGGAAGATGCATCCTTGCCACAATCGTTGTCGGACGAGTGAGGGAGAAGATTGACTGTTGACCCCTTCCGCCGTCAAGTGCTGCCGGTCCTCGCGCTCGAACGTCGCCTGCTCGGACCGCTGGGTGTAGTAACACCATATGTGTTCATCCCTGGGCGTCGCCGGAGAGTGAAAGAAAGTTCATCGGGACTGCTGCCTCCATTTGCAGACTCAGGTCGTGTTCACCGGCAGATTCCCCTGGCGTAGGTTGCAGCTGTGTGACACGGCCCTGTACGACTGAAGAGTCCTTTGTTTGGTCACTGGGACGAGCTAGGCCGGCTCTCAGGCATAGCAGTGCAAGCTGGAACGGACTGTGGAGGCCAGGTCGAGCTGCTGGTGCCATCGTTGCGTAGTGGCCGTCGTTGTACGTCGATGACTGGAAATGTAGCAGGTTGGCTCCAATGCGTATAACGGAGGGATGGCGATGGCCTCGCTCTCGGCTGGTGCTGGTAGTGCCGCACTTGGTCCGCCTAGTTGACCGGGCTTCGCCAGTTGACCACCAAAATCAAATCTGGCCGGAAAAATTCCAGATCTTGAAGATTACAGATCCAAAAATTGAAAAAACTTTCATCTTGGAGATCTTTTTCTGAGATTTCGAAATTGCAAACCATTTTTTCTTCGTTTCTTCCTGAATTTTCAGAAGGATTTTGACCGATTCCTTTAAGATTACCACTGTTTTGGATGAATTTTTTTTCCTGAGATTGGAATGAATTTTTGGATAATTTGGGGAGGTTTTCTCACTTGATTGTGTTCAAACCTCTCAACGAGAGCACCATTGTTGGATAATTGATACCCATATCCTATAACTAAGAGAGATTGAACAAGAATAAAAAAGAGTAATGGAAAAGAAGAAGAAAATGTGTATAGAGTGTGAACTGTGAGTTCTTGAGTTGTGAGTTTACAAGCCTCCTATAAGGAGTATATATAGGGAAAATCCGGGTCGGGGCCTCTAATACGGGCCTGACAGACCCGTTTACGTAAATGGACTGATAGTATAAAAAGCTAATGTAGAACATTTGAATAATAATGTACAATAATATGAATATGCTAAACGTGTGTGGGCCGCTGTCCAGGCCCAGTAGTCGGCATACCGGGAGATCGGAGTCCATATACTCCATCAATGATCATTTTAGAAAGGTACGCATTTAATGTTATATAGGGTATGGTTGAGTTAATTTTATTTTCAAAAATTGACAATTCAATTTTATTTGAATTCCATTCAAGAAAACCGTTTATAAATTTCAAAACAAAAGACAGTTTCATGCCATGACCTCTTATACGATGACTATAAATAAGAGTCAAGATATTTTTACTTAGACTGTTTTCAATCTCAAATCAGACTAAACTAGACTTAAACAAATCACGCTAGATCAGACCAGTTCAGACCAGACCAAACTTTCATAGTTATAAAATACATAGAGGCCTGATATTTAGCGGACCAGACCAGATTTAAACAAACCAGACCAGCAAATTTCAATCAAAGTAAAAATTTTCTCAATGTCAATCTTTTGTCGCATGTTGGATTTTTATTAAAAAAGTCGGTGCTTAAGCATTTTTTACTTATTATTGCAGTATCGTACATACAAAATTGTAAGAGTTTGAAAATATTGATCTTCCGTGAACATGGCCAACAAATTGACTATACTATATATCAACGTTATTTTTCAGGAACTGTAAATTGGAAAATGTGTAGAATGCAAAAATCTTATTGTGAATTTGTAATATTTATTCTTCCTTCTTATTTCACACCACACTTCGTACCAATTACGAGCTGTGATAATTTCTTCTTCAATTAAAATTTGTGTGTTTATTACTTTTATATTCTCTACACTAATTTACACATTAACTAATACTCCATCCGTCCCGTTAGAAGGTTCACACTTTCCTTTTTTGGACGTCCCATTAGAAGGTTTCCACTTTCATTTTTTGGACGTCCCATTAGAAGGTTCTTATTTCCATTTTAGAAAACAATTAACAATATTAATTGACAAATTAGTTATTAAATATTAAAAATAATACATTTATAACATCACAGTTATCAATACTAACACATTATAATATATACCTATTAAAATTATTTCTCAAAATATACCCGAAGTACTTTATTTAATTATTACCTAAATAACCGTACCGTTTTGCTATGAGAACCTTTCAACGGGATAGAGTTAGTAACTTTTAGTCAAAATTACACATTTATAGATAATATGATTTGAATATAACTTAATATATGTTCCGTGCATCGCACGAGTGAGAATCTGGTATATACAAAAGTGGAATTTTAGCCAACTTTTCCGCCCAAACTTTCTGATCATATGTGGGTTGGGTGCACGAATTGTCCGCACCTTCACTGGTGTAAGAGTACAATTCATTTCATGTTCATGCGAAGCCAATAAATGCAAATCACGTACTTTTGAAGATTTGTTTCTGAAAAATGTATACTACACGCAATAGTTATAGAAGCTTAGGTTGTCCAGTAGCATTTAATGGATGTGTACGCATTATCTAATGGATATACATCCATTGGTGCAGGATATTGTCCAATGAATATTGTCCAATGGATATAACACTCTGGGAATGAATAACCCCAATGCAAATCCATTATAAATGGATTATTTTGAAGAACAAGACCACATAGTAGAACACAACAACAGCCATACAACTATACAAGTTCCGCATGGGCTCTTACAGTGCGGGAGTATTATACGAAATATAATGAGATGCCTGCTATATTTATGGGAGAAAAGGCTGGAAGTGACCTTTGAATTAGATGACTAAGATGAGGTATTATTCTTTAATCAGGTTTTAGAAATGACTTTACTAATTCTTTTTAGTATTACTCCGTATTAATCATGACATACATGAACAAAATAAGTATACTATTTATAAATCAAATTTGGCGGAGGAAAGGACAATGCAACGGAGACTACATTTACAATTAACCTGAGGATGGAGGGAGTGAAGATGTTCTTAGTCACCATGTCACCAAAACACCCATCTGTGATTGCATGTTTGAGGACAAATGTTTGAGGAAGCAAAGAGACTTTGTTTTTCAAACAATACTACTAATATAAGGTAAAAGCCATTTCATCTCACTATTTTGTGATTCTATTTTCAGGAAGGAGTCTATTGTAACTTCAAGGAAGACTGGAATGGTGAATCCCAAGATGGAAAACCCTTTTGTATCCTTTTGTGGAAACATATAATGCTGGATAATTTTTTCTGGTTTTATTTGATCTGTATATGCTTAAAACTCTTCAAAAATAATGCAAATAGAGTTATGATGTCTTCACAAGAGTTGACCTAATTGTCATCTAAGGTTGAAGTTCTCTAAAATTGAGTTCACGTTTACTGAAGAATTCCAAATTAAATTAAACGTTATTCATTATTTTGTCTTTACATTCAATTATTAGAATAGATTCATTATTGGTTCCAACTCTATCTTATAGCCGTTACATTGTAAGCTCCTATATATTTACATGCATGCTACTCACGTAGCAATAAGAGAGAGTGCTCTGATACCATATTAATTTGGAAGCAAAGAGACAAATCTGCACTCTCTCTTATTGCTACGTGAGTAGCATGCATGTAAATATATAGGAGCGTACAATGTAACGGCTATAAGATAGAGTTGGAACCAATAATGAATCTATTCTAATAATTGAATGTAAAGACAAAATAATGAATAACGTTTAATTTAATTTGGAATTCTTCATTTACATTATTACATATTATAAAAATAGGATGATTTGGTTCAAATGTTAAACATTGAACAATTTATTTTAAATAAAATATCCTTGAATGGTATTTCAACGACAAAAGTAAGAAATGAGAAATTTAGGTGACGATGATCATATTGAGATATTTAAGTTGTGGAATAATACGACCTCTTAATAATCCATCTTATTCTATAAACTAATCAATACATACTTGCAATTCATCTAGGAATGATACATATATATTAGGGCACCTTATTCATGTTCAAAAAACTAGGAATTTACATTTTCATCAGCGTACTATATATAATAATTCAAAAATATAATTAATCTTAGTGGATTAGAATATAAAAGTTAATGACATATTTTTTTTTGACAGAAAAGTTAATGACATATTAGAATATATTTATAATTTATGTTCGTATCACATCCGTAGTAGGGAGTATATTCCAATCATTTTTATGTCTAAAGAATACTCTCACCATCCCTAAATGTTCTTCCAAAATAAAGTGGCACACTGATTAAGAAAGTGGGAATTGTGTGGTGGAGAGTTGTGCAGAGGAGAGAGAAATGCCGTGAACCACAAATTCTTTGACAAAAAGGAAAAGTGAAGTTCTTTTAGGGACGGATGGAGTAATTAATTTTTGTAAATAACTAATAAATAGTTGAAGCGACGCCGTCGGACAACCTCGCAAATGCGTCGCCGCCACCGTCGTTGAACCAGATACTTTTTGAATCGTTGAAGCGACGGGAGAGGTTGCTGTCCTACACTCCTACAGAGACCGACTGGAAACGTATGGAGACCCTTGATGTCTATTGGGCGTGTTGCAGCGTGTCCCTTACTTCGAGATTTTAAAGAAGATGACAGCTGGAAGTATTTTTGTGATGGTTAAACTAAAGTGTAAAAATTGGGCAGGGGCGAAGTACGGAAAACCAATTGGTTTTTCTACAGATTTAATCATTTCAGTGGTTTGAAAAGTATGTATGTACGAGTACTTCATTCGGCACTTTTGCTTACTCTTCATAAAACGAAAGGGCAGAATCATAAAGTTAAATTTTATCTCTACACTTCCTTAATTCCCGGTCAAAATTTGCACCTCAATTCGGGACGGAGGGAGTACGTACTTTGGAAAAACTTGTGCGCAGTGCGCTTCCTCTTCCTCACGGCCTTTGAATGGTAAGCATCTTCTTTCTCTACTTCCCTATCCCCTGTTAGTTTTTTCAGATTCTTTTTGTTGTATTGGTGATTTGTTCACTACTCTTAGCTTGGGAAGACATTAGTAGAAAATGAAATTGGGTCCTTCCCACATCAGCTGCAAAAACCCTAGACCTTACCTCCCCAGGTTAATTTTGTGGTTTGGTTTTTGAGGATTCTGGGAAATGCTACGAAAATGAAAAAATTTCTAAGAAAATCCATTTTCTTAAGTTTAAAGTTGCACTTGGATTTGTTGGTGGGAATGAAATCTTCTTTTCAAACTTTAGTATAGAATGATATGGATAAATGTAATTAGCAAAGCAGAGCTGTTATAGGTTAAAAAAATCTCGAGGTGATGAAAAGTTGTGGTTATAGCTCTAAACGGTCCAAACTCTCTGCTGTATACTTGGTTCGTTTGCTATTTTCATGGATCAGAGTTTCAACGATCCCAAAAAACATGACTTTTAAGCCAAGAAAAAGGTGGATTAGTTACAACTTACAAGTACTCCTTTGTGTCAAGAAAAGGATGAAAATGTTTTGATAACCATAGCACTTTTTCTCAGGTGTAAGAACTTATTGTCCAGTAGTAATTGAGGATTACATGGACTATGTTAAACATAGTTGTGACAGTGTTAGTGGGACGGAGGTAGTAGTAAACATGAGGAAATAGGTTTGCTAAAAAAGTACATCCTCTAATTTAATTAATAGCATATCCCCTGATACTAACGGCCTGTTTGGATTGAGTGTTGAAGAGTGTTAGTAATGGAAGTGTTAGTAAGTGTTGATGCTAACACTTGTTTGGGAGAAAAATCCAGAGGTGTTAAGAAGTGTTAGTAATGGTTAGGAAGTGTTAATAATAACCTTCCCAACACCTCAATTGTCCATTTTTTTAACACCCCGATTTGGAGTGTTTTGAGGTGTTGCACAATTATTACCCTTCTCATTTACCCGAAAAACATAAAATGCTTCGACATTTCACTTCGAATGTCTTTCCCACGGGTCTGATGGTTTGTTTTTTCATCTCTTCTCTTTACTCGTTTCTTTTGCCTCAAGGTAAAATTATTAACACTTCCATTATTAACACTTCATTCATTTGACTCTCCCAAACAAGGTAAAATTATGTCTAACACTTACACTTCCCTTCCCTTCCGAGCCTTTACTAACACTTACTAACACTTCCATTACTAACACTTCCAAACACTCCATCCAAACAGGCCCTAAGATTCCAAAAATAGCCTTAGACTGATCTATTAAAAACGGAGGTGTTGTTTCCATTAAGGGAGGGTTGATACCAGTGCATTGACTCTTGATACCAGTGCATGGACTCAACTTCTTATAGGCAACACGCCATAAAAGAATCAAACTTTACACTTCTTTTCCTAAAATTTTCAATGTCCTCCAGATTGACAGTCTACAATAAGTGGTTAAAGGAACCAAATTTATGCAAAAAGTCATCACTAGATTTCATATGCAGATATATAACACCCTAACTAACCCAAGAATACTAAAAAACAAAGATTTGCGAATATGGAATTCTTTATCAAGTATGTTGTGTCATTGAAAAGTAAATGTCCTATTTAAATTTTACATTCTTGAAGTTGTGTAGCTCATTCATATTACTTATTCAATGGCATTTAATGTTTTTCATTTTAAATGTCCTAATTGTAGTTGATTTTCTATACTTTTTTGTAGGAGGCTAAATGCATGTATCCCTCCCAAATTGGATCTTTCTTCTGGCCTTGCTACATCTTTCTTACCCCTTTTGATTTCACCAATCATAATGTGGTTCACAATACTAATTTGGATGGTAATCTTAGGGATGTCATCCCCATTTCTTTCAGGCTCACACTCTCAGATTTTAGATGTCAAACGATTATCCTTTACTTTGAACATGTATATTTCAGCAACTTTGACGTTAAAATTAGGAGGGATAGAGGTTATATCAGCCCCTTTCCAAAATTTTAACCTCATTATTTAAAGTTGTGACTTTTAGTATCTGCAGCACCCTCAGTCACGGACGGTGATGATTGGGAAAGTCCAGAGGAAAAGAACTATTTACTTTACTAGTTACTATGTGCATGCTTCTGGTAGTTTTCCTTATGAAAAACTAATAACTTTAGAGGAAACTAATTAATGATTTACTATTTGCATGATTTTAATTTTGTAATCATTAAGTTTTCTCTTGATTGTACATGTTATTTCACAACTCCTATGCAATCTTGTGGGAGATGTGAAATCAGAACAATCTAAAGCATCTATGATATCTTGTACATTTTATAATCATTAAGTTTTCATTAAATTTTGTAATGATTAAGTTTTCTCTTGATTACATCTCCTATGTAATCATAAAGCATCTATGATATCACTAAGTGATTGTGGGCTCCTGCCTAATCCAAGCAGAGAGGAAAGCGCATAAAAGAACGTTTTTAGTAAGCAAACAAGAAATGGTGATGACTTCAAGTGGCCTACAACTTAAGATCAAGAACAATCTACCAGGCATAGATCAGGTAAAATTTTATTTATTTATTTGTGTGAATTTGTAAAGGTGACTAACATCTGCTCTCTTATGCAATCAGGACTTCCAAAACCAAAAGCTGCAGCAGATCTGTTCGGGCGAAGGAACCTGCTAGGTAACCACTGATTATGGCTACATGTTCATTTGCTTGGTTATTTGTTTGGTTTGATGTGGGCATAAATGAATACATAGCTATATAAGCCTGGTGACATGAGTGTAATTGGCTAAGAAGACTTGGGGGGGGGGGGGGGGCTGTGTAGGCCTAGGTGGAAACCTGTCAAGAGTACTCCAGAGGTTATGGTCTGCCATTAACTCAGTGGTCAGCCAAGGATCTAGAAATCATGGATAGGTGTGACCGGCGTCTTGTTGAGCTAGCACTTGACTACTACCATAACTCATGTAAGGTCAGTGATTTTTTCAGGAAATGTGTTTTGACTTTGTTTTTCTTCAATGGAAAAAAGTAGGTAACATAGCACTTTATTAATTATTGGTACGCATTAGTGGCGAAAATGGGTATTAGTTGTTGGGGTATCTCATTATCTCGATCAATATCAGTGTATGTAGTAGTGTGTATTTTTAAGGAAAAATTGACAAAAATAATCCCACCTTTCGCTGGTCTTCTCATAATAATCCCACCTTTAGATAATCCCAGAATAATCCCACCTTTGCACCTCATTTTCTTTCATTGGACTCTGACCATGTTTTTTACTCTTTTTTTGAAAATCATATAAATAATCTCACTTTTAACTTTTCTATTATATCTTTATAAATGTGAGATTATTTATATAATATTTTCAAATAAAGGTAAAAAACTTGGTCAGGGTCCAATGAAAGAAGATGAGGTGCAAAGGTGGGATTGTTTTGGGATTATGTAAAGGTAGGATTATTATGAGAAGACCAATGAAAGGTGGGATTATTCTTGTCAATTTTTCCCACATATAAAGTTATTAGTTGTAATGCTTCGATTAAAAATATGTGTGTCACTTTGTATTTTTTTGAAGTATCATAACTAATCACTTTATCCATTAGTGTGTGTATATTGATATGAAATTTTAAATGGGTCCGGGTTTTTAACGGGTCGGAATCATATGTACCATACCCGATCCGTTTATTAAAAATACTAACGGGTCTGGGTAAACAGAATAAAATGTTGACGTATACCCGTTAAAAACAACTGGGTTCGGGTCTAGACCAGATCAATTGACAGGCCAAGATTTATGTCAACCAAACATACGCTTATTATGGGAAAACCCCTCTTCATTAAAGAGCAACTCAAATTTGTCTCAAATCAATATGAATATATTGTATTATGTTTCTTGTGTATCATCACTTAACAGAACATTGATTAGGAACATCATTTTGTTTTATCGAAGCTGTTGGCACACAATAAAGGATATTATTTTATTAATTACTACTACGTAGTACGTACGGAGTATATGTTAATTAACTTTTTCCGTGAAAAAGCACATCATGTGCGAAGACTTACAAAAATTCTATATATTCAGCTCTGTATAATGCAACTATAGTGGAATAGGATCATCATATCACATTCTAGTTATGCTAACGAAGATTTTATATATAAAAAAGCCATTACAACCAAAAAAATCAATTCGTGTGAAGATTGTAACATGTATAACGTCCCATATGGCCATATTATTAGTTGTGGTAACCTATAACGTCCTATATTACTTTAACTAATATATATTTATTTTTAATTAAATAAATTTTAGGAATTAATCAGACAAGAAAGGTCGGACATTGAAATCAATTCAATTGTGGTAACCTATATACTCCTTATAGAATTTGCAGTCATAAACTAATAGTTCCATCTATTGATCTCATTTTATAACTTATCTACGGTCTACCGTATATTCCAAAAGAACGCTGGGAAAACAAAACCAAAAAACTAAATCAAGGCTTCAAGGACAAATATGTATGTTTAGGTTGAAATATGGGCGCACTTCAAAGGACAAAATTAAAACAAGACTTCGTACTATATGGTTTAGGCGATTCAGAGATAAACTTCGGGAAAACTTCAGGCCGTCTTCAAGAATCTTGGGACAAACTTGAGGCGGTCTTACACGTCTTAGCATACTCTCACTCTGCTGCTGATGGTAAATTTCTCTCCTATCATCTTGGGGACTATGGGGAGTATTATCTTCCATCATCTTTTTAGTGAGGGTATTGTAAAAACTAGATTCTCACATGTGCAATACCCGAAACATAAATATTCTACATTTACTAATAATGTTAACAAATCATATTATTTAATTTTTGGGTATCACACATGTGAGAATATAGTTTTGACAAAATCCTCACAAATTCATTCATGTGTATCCTTTCCCAAAAAAGAGAAAACTTGATACAAATAAATATCGACTAATCTGTAATTCCTATAGAACAAATTAGTTAAATTTGAACTCATTGCGTATTTCTCCCTATGTTTTTCCCTTCCAAATTGCTATGGTGTTTGTTTTCCTAATTTCTTTCCTTGGTATTTTCTTAGGTGTTATAAATACATACAGAGGTAATTACATTTTGTGAATGTATCCAAAAAATTGATCACCACATTACCCAACATTACAAAGATAGTTTTTTAATGACGTACCCAGTGTGCGTCAATGCACCAACGATTGTAGTCCGCGGTTAATACGACACCATATTCTGATGTAATCCAACACATTTACCAAGTTTGAGCATGATCCAGTCTTCAAAGTCACCCACCGCACAAGGAATTCCACGGATAATTGAGGAGGGCATGGGATTCCTGTCTGCTGGGCGCGAATCATTAACATACTCTCCATTGCCTCAATGGCTGCTATGCAGTAGCAAGTCATCCCTATAGAACACATTAAAACTCGATTCTTGAATAAAAAAACAAAGAACCTATAAAACATATCAAAATCTCATTCTTCTTGAAACAAAGAAAACCAATAGAACAGTTCAAACCCCATTCATTCTTGAACAAAAAACAGAGAACCCATAAAACAGTTCAAAATCACATTCTTCTTGAAACAAAAACGAGAACAGATTAAAACCTCATTCATCAAACAAAAAGTAAAGATAAAAAAGAGCACCTCTATTTTTTTATCCCTGAAAGCTGGGAGGATTTGTGCTACATATGCCCTTCTTCTCCAAGTAAATGTGGGGTGTGTCCCCATTTGTAGTCTGAGGAGCGAGAATGGAGTTTGTCTGAAATATGATTCTTGAAGATGTCGACTTTTTCAGAAGCCGTCTAAACCGAATATGAAGCTTGTAAACTTGAAAGGAGCAAGAATGGAGTTTGTTTGAAATGTATTTCTTGAAGACGCCGGCTTTTTCAGAAGTCGTCTAAACGGAATATGAAGCTTCTAAACATGAACAGAGCGAGAGTGGAGACTGTCTGAAACAAATTTTGTCTGTGATTTAATTTTGGGTAGACCGTAGAGATAGGTTGTAAAATCAAACTATTAGATAGAAGGATGAGTCTATGACTACAAATTCTATACTGAGTAATACATTTCAATGTCCCATCTTTCTTGTGTGATTAGTTCCTAAAATTTATTTAATTAAAGATAAATATACTTTAGTTGATATAATATGGGACGGTATAGGTTACCACAACTAATAATATGGCCATATGAGACGTTATACTTGTTACCTATTATATGGGACGTTATACGTTATAACATGTATAACGTCTCATATGACCATATTATTAGTTGTGGTAACCTATTATGTCCCATATTATTTCAACTAAAATATATTTATCTTTAATTAAATAAATTTTATCAGACAAGAAAGATGGAACATTGAAATGTATTACTCAGTATAGAATTTGTAGTCATAGTCTCATCCTTCTATCTAATTGTTTACATTTTACAACTTATCAGACAAACATCACTCTCACTCATTTCAAGTTTACAAGTTTCATATTCCGTTTAGGCGACTTCTGAAAAAGTCAATGTTTTCAAGAATCATATTTCAGACAAACTCCATTCTCGCTCCTTTCAAGCTTACAAGCTTCATATTCGGTTTAGGTAACTTTTGAAAAAAGCTGGCATCTTCAAGAATCATATTTCAGACAAACTGCACTCTCGCTACTCAGACTACAACAAATGGGGACACACCCTACATTTACTTGGAGAAGAAGGGCAAATGTAGCACAAATCCTTCTTGCTGTCAGGGATAAAAAAGATAGAGGTTACCTTTTTTATTTTACTTTTTGCTTCAAGAATGAATGATGTTTTAATCTATTCTCGTTTTTGTTTCAAGAAGAATGTGATTTTGAACTATTTTTATAGGTTCTCTGTTTTTTTGTTCAAGAATGAATGGGGTTTGAAGTGTTCTATTGGTTTTCTTTGTTTCAAGAAGAATGAGATTTTGATAGGTTTTATAGGTTCTTTGTTCTTTTTGTTCAAGAATCGAGTTTTAATGTGTTCTATAGAAATTTGTTGCTGCGTAGCAGCCATTGAGGCAATGGAAAGTATGTTAATGATCCGCGCCCAGCAGACAGGAAGCCCATGCCCTTCTCAATTATTTGTGGAATTCCTTGTGTGGTGGGTGACTTTGAAGACTGGATCATGCTCAAACTTGGTAAATGTGTTGGACTACATCAGAGAATATGGTGTCGTATCCAACGCGGACTACAACCGTTGGGGCATTGGCTCACATTGGGTATGTCATAAAAAAACTATCTTTGTATAATATTCGATAATGTGGTGGTCAATTGTTTGGATACATTCACAAAACGTAATTACCTTTGTATGTATCTAGAACACCTAAGAAAATACCAAGGAAAGAAATAAGTTAATACTTATTTGTATTAGTTTTCTCTTTTCAAATGAATTTTTAAATATAATTGCGCAGTTAAACAGTGCAGTATATTTCAGAAAATCATTAGACTGTCTTCCCAGTTTTATTCTTAATGAAGAAGATACTCAAAATATTTCATCAAAAAATCCCACAAAGAACCGCCCCAAATGCCGATAGCCGGACAAAATCTCCTTTATAAGGGGTTAATATGAATTCGACCCTCCGGACTGCTTTTGGGTATGATATTGAACAGAAACTATGCCCGAGACTCCTCACAAAAGAAAATGTCAAACCGGTGTTGTCGTGGTTGCTCCTAGTCGACTTGGTTCCGGAAGCTTAATGGTTTCTGAGGTTGCAAGGGCACGTTGGATTGGGTTATGTTCAACCTAAACCTATAAAGATTTTCATAAATAGAGCTGCAATACATCATATTAGTGCCGATGAAGAAGATGAAGTGACTTCCAAACTAAAGTGCTCTGTCTTTGATCGGATTGAGAGGGCAAGATCAAGGCCCACCGTCTTTGATAGATTGGGTCTGAAGCCAAAGAAAGTTATGAAGAAGACTTTACAAGAATGGCTTAGAACGAGCCCAATGATGATGAAGTATGCTGAAGACCCATGCATGGGACAAAACTTCAAAAGAATGTCTGTACATGAAAGATTGGGATTGAAACATGAACGCAATACATCTGCTGAAGTTCCTCTCGAAAAGCAAAGTTTTAATGAGTATAGAAGTTTTATCCCATCTCGTATGAAACGAGAAACCAGTGTTAAACTAACCTATGGAAGTGCACTCAAAGTCAAGCCAGTGACCATTGTGCACACTCGTGGTCGATATGAAGACCAATATGAAGATTCAGTACCCTTGAAGTCGGGGTATAGATATGTCAAATAAAATGTTGAAAGCCTTAAACCACCAATTATGTTATAAGTGGCTAAACTGCTAAAACATTTCACTTCGTCTATGGGTGAGCATAATCATAGATACTCTTGGCCCACGAAAGTATAAAATGTGTACGGCAAGCTCATGGCCCGCATGAGTTAAAACTGTGCACGGCACCCCACCCCTTTAAATTACCTATTCAAATGGTATTATGAACTACGTTTGACTTGATCTCCTTCACAGGAGTACGTAGGCACCTCAAAAATTTCATTTTTGAGTTCAGTTATAACAAAATAAATCCCAATTAAGTCACTTTTGTCAAAGAAAATATTAGAAGAAGGCTTACGAAAGAAAAAAGTCAGATGAATGGCAAAGGCTTGGGAATTCTTTGATGTCCTCCTCATCGGAAGTTGATTGAGCTAAGCAGCACCGACGATCGGCAATCGGCCTAATTCTTTAAATCGGTGCCATCCCAACAAAGGACTAAGCAGCACCGATGATCGGAAATCGGCTTAATTCTTCAAATTTGCGTCATTCCAACAAAGGGTTAAGCGACAACCAGCAATCAGTCAAACTTCGTCCTCATCATCTTCCTCGATCGATCTATTCTGTAGGCAGCTTCTTCGCACGTAAAAATAATAATCATGAGATAGCAATAGCTCAGCATCTTCCTCGCCAGATAATCAGCATCGAGTTCAGCCGAGATTTCCCCTCCGACTGGCGAACTCAGCTTCCGATCAACAGTCCACCGATTGGATTCTTCTTGTCAAAACGCCACGGTAGACACCATCTCCTGTCCGCTGCAAAAAAAAAGAAAAAAAATCTGGCCAGCGGAAATCAGTATCAAAAGCTCGGCTAAGCCTTCTTCTCCGGCATCACTTCGACCTATGTTTGATAGTGGCAGCAACAGTGTTACTTTCCCAGGCTTGGAACGGACCTATTCTTCTTCTCCCAAGTGAAGTCACCATCTCGATAAAGAAGCGCCTTCATCTGACAGCAACAGAGGAACCCTGCGAACCTTTCAACAACAATCAACGGCTTCACCTTTACTCACAAGGCCAGGAAGAAAAAATTTGCAACTCTGCTTCCTTCACAACTCCGGGTGCCTTCAAATCATGGAATGATGGGCGAGACATAAACACAGGGGATGTCAAATGAGGGTCTCCTGGTCTTCTCACAAGAATTGGGAGTTCTGTTGGTAGTCGTTTCTGTAAATTGATTCCATATGTGGCTGATTTTGTCTCCAGAAATCTTCCCTGCAAAATGCCAAGAGAAGAAAGTGAGAAGGAATTAATATAAAAGAGGTTTAGCTCCTGCCGTTCTTTGCTCTGAATTTGAGATTGTTGGAGGAGCAAATTGCTATTGCCTCCTATCTATATCTATATCTATATATTAACCGAGTTAAGTGAAGTTCCCGCTCACGCACAGGGGCATTCCCGGACTCTGAAGTTATGTTCTAGCCTGGTATTTCTTCTTTCTTCGGATATGTTCTATGCCTAACACAGCCGACTCATTTGAGCGCCTCTCTATTGGATCTGGAACATTATGCTTTAATACTAAGCAACATGCTCTTCTCTCTGTTGTGCCGCACACTTTTTTGGATTTGTTGAGTTCAGGCGATCAGCGATTTCAACTTCTAGCTCGGTTGGCCTTCTCATTATTAGTTAGTATTATCTCCCAAATCTCACTCTTTTTATTTATTTTTCTTTAAATTCTTGATATTTCGTATCTACTCACAGTTTAATCTGAGTTTCCATACAATACATGCTCAAGAGTGTGAATTGTTTGATAATAAAGTTATCAATAGAAACAATTTAAGTGAACTTGCATAAGCTTGGAACTACTAAACGATTTCTTGGTGCTCAGAGTTTTATCATTATATATTCACACTTTCATTCTCTAATCTCACTTCGTTAAAGGCTTAGCATAGATAGCATCAATTACTTCTGCCTCTTGCTGGATAGTTCCACTCTAGCAACACACTTCAGCACTTCACCCTACACAAATTCTACTCACGTGATTCAACTCAGAACTTAACTAAGGTTTGTAATTTTATATTATGTGTGTTATTTTTGGTTGTTTCCTTCATCGGAGAATTAAACTATAAGATATCTAATGGTTGCAGGCTACTTTAAGCCACTCCACTCATGATTCTTTTTCTTGTCTCTGCACCTATTGCATCTTAGCACTTTGGTATTGTCATTTTCATTAGGTATAATTTATTAATCATTCTAACTTTTCTTATTTATTGTTGTTAATCTAATGATATACAGGTATCCATGTTTCTGGCATCTCCCGTTTGCTAATAGAGGTTATTTAATACTCCGTAATAGGTTTAGAAGAATGTTACAAAAAAAATACAAGGAATCATGTATAATTGAGAACACAACCTCTCAATTATGTAAGTATTAACCGAGATGAAATAGAAAATGGATTGAGATTTCTTTTTACTTTTGTTATACGGTTAGAAGTATATTTGTTTTTTTTAGGTATGTTATGTGTCATTTGCCAGTCTTGGTATGTTTGTTCCTTTTCCCTATTTCATAAACTATAAGTTTTTGTTGAAAAACACTCGACTTTCTGCTATAAACATGTGCATGTATGAAAATTCTGTTTGAGGAATTTTTTAATTAGCTAATCTGCGAAGTTAGAGCTCACTTATCGTGTCCCATACAAATAAGGGGATCCCAAATCTGTAAATGCATGCTTATTAGGGATGTTAAGTCTGCCATGTTCAAATCTGTGCATATGGTGCTTTTAGTATAAGGGATGAGTGCTTTCTTTCCTCTCTTTTCATTTCAAATCTGCTGACTTTCTTTGCCATATGTTTGCTTCAATCCAGAGTGGTCTCCTTTAATGACTTCAGGCCTATTTGCCTACAATCTTTTATTAGCAAGGTTAATACCTGAGTTTTAGCTTTAAGAATGGCTGCATTGCTTCCTAAGGTGATATCCGAGGAACAAGCTGGTTTTTTAAGGGCCATGAAGTCAATGACCATATTCTAATTGCATATGAAATGTTGCACGTGTTGGATAGATCAGTGAGAACCTCCAATGTAGCTATCAGGCTTGATATGCAGAAGGCATTTGATAGAGTTCCGGAAGTTTTTGCTAGCTATTTTGGATGATTTTGGCTTCAAGGAGCAGGTTCAAAAACTCATTCTGAACAATCTCAAGACAACCTATATATCCATCCTGATCCATGGAAAGCCTTTTGGTTTCTTTTAACCAGGAAGGGCAGTGAAGCAGGGTGATCCATTCTCACCACTTTTGTTTATTCTTATTTCTAAGGGCTTTTCAGGAGGCTTGAAACACAACATGAGCCTAGTAAAAATTCAGCCATTTAACTATGGAAGAGGGCTATGGATGCATCTCTAGGTAGCAGATGCAACAGAACTTCTTTAAGCTTTCTTTAAGGTTTTCTTTATATTTGATTTCTTCAGATAATTAGACTCTCCCATTTAAAAACTTTTCTGATTTTATTTAGGACAAAAAACTTAATTACTTTTCTCTAAAGAGTGTAACTTATCATAGGGGTATGTGAAACTTATTTATGACCTATACTTATGTATAATTGATAATATATTTTATGACCTATACTTATTTTGAATTGTAAAGGAAGTTTTGCATAATGTTTGAGGTTTATGATAAGCAATTAACACATGATTGTGAACTGATTTTTTTTTTTTGAACTATTGACTTGAAATATTCATTTGGCCATGCCCCTTAAGGGTTGAAGGTTTTGAACTTCAAACCAAGTCATCCATTCTGTATATGGTAAATTGCCTACATTCATGTTATGTTGGTTTATAAAATGATAGAATTAGAATAAGTTGTGAACTAAATGATAGACTGACACATTAAGTAAAGTTGTTTTCTAGAGTACTAATGTGTTGTTTCTCCAGCAGAATCTAAGCCATGATTATATCTGAACTTTAATGTTATTCTGGAGTTTGAAAAGTGTTTTAGATCGCTAGATTTTTTTTTGTTTTTTGAGCTTATAAAGCAAGTGAGTTGTTATACATTGAGAAAGTGAATATTAAATGTGCATTCCAAGTTATTTTTATACCACTATGTTTGTTTCGCGGGTTCTTATACATTGAGAATGTTATTAACCTTGCCTCTACCCAGTCATCCATTCTGTATATTGTCAATTGCCTACGTTCATATTATTCCAAGTTTTTTTATGCAGATTACTTCCGACACCGAAAAGGATGCAGTCGATACTCCAAATTCAACTTTACAACGTCGAAAATTAGGAGAAGGAACATTAACTCCTAATGACGACGTCTCAACACAAGGATCATCTAATAAGAAATTGAAGTCGGTGAAAATTGAAAAGCCATGACAATTTTCAGTTTTTCTTTTGAAAACTCTTTGTTTGCTTTTTCTTTTTTTGGATAATATATGACTTTGCTTTGTACTGATATTTTGTTTACCTATTACACGGTTTGGATTTAAATCGTTGATTAAATTTTCGTTCATAATAATGTGTGCTTCGATTACTACAATCTTTTGGTCAAAATATTTTGTGTATTCTCTAATTTTTTGTGTCCCAAACAAAATCTGGCCATAATAATAATATTTATATAGTTATTTTCATCAATGTTAATGCTGTTTGAATTGGATTGATAACAAAGGAAGAGTGTGTCAATTCTGCCATTCCGGGAGGGATGATTGGGTATCAAACCAAATGTATGAAGCACAACTATTTTCAGCAATGTTAAGGTTGATCGAATTGTATTGATAACAAATGAAGAGTGTCAATTCTGGGACGTATGATTGCATACGTATATAGTTATTAATTCACCAATGATATAATAACATATAAACCTCACATAAATGATCATCCCTTATTCTTTATCCCTTATTCTTTAATTATGTACAATGATTTAGCATGATTTTATAGTGGCACTAGGAAATCATATCACATACGTAGTGCGTAGCTTTCTTTTATCAATTCCAACCTTTAGGTGATATATAGTGCTCCTTGAAATTTTTTGATAATATGGGATGAGTGATACTTAGGATGTTTTTTTTGTACAATTTTCAGTCCCAGACCAGACCAACAAATTTCAGTCCAAAAGAAAACATCGTTAAACAGAAAGAACCAAATTTTGTTTACCTCTCAAAAGAGGGTGAACATCACCCCCACCCCATTGTCAGCACTACTTATCCTGGTTTTTTGAAAAACACAAACAACATCTCATATCTAGAAGGGAGAGCGATTCTTGCACCGACAATTGATGAGGTAGACAAGATCAATGATTTCATGTTGCTACAGAATAGCTCAAAGGAAAAGACCGTTTTTAGTTCTGATTCAGCGTGTTCCCCTACCTCAGAGTCTCAGACAATGAGCTCCTTCAAGAAATCCATTCTCCCGAGTTCCTTAACGGAATAAAATGTTCAGGTGTTCCAAGTCACGAGTTCAAGCTAAAAGTTGGTGTACCGGTGATGCTCATGAGGAATATAGATCACTCGGCCGGCTTGTGTAATTGTACCCGACTTTTAGTGACAAAACTTGGTGCACATATTATTGAGTCACAGATGATGTCTGATACTAATGCAGGTGAGAAGTTTCTTATTCCCAGGATAAGTCTAACCCCATCGGATGTGAGGCTCCCTTTCACATTTACGCATAGGCAATTCCCCTTGATGGTTAGCTATGCGATGACGATGAACAAGAGCCAAGAACAATCTTTAGAAAATGTGGGTGTCTTTCTATGACGTCCTGTTTTTACACATGGACATTTATATGTTGCAGTTTAGGTGATGAGCCCGTCTGGCTTGAAGTTTGTGATACGCGACGACGAGGGAAATCAGAAAAATACCGCAAAAAATGTTGCCTACAAAGAAGTTTTCAATAATTTGTAACTTGTGTGCTTATTAAACTTCAAATATTTTTTATTACATATTTATTAATGGTTACTCTCATTCCTTTGATAAATTATAATATAATCTTTAATTTTATTTAAAATTGGAGTTTAGAGTATAAGTATTTTACACCCCGTGCAACGCACGGGTGGAATACTAGTTTATAATGTTTATGGCACAATAGCGTAAGATATCAGAAGGAATTTGACTAAGAATGTACTTGTTTTCAAAGACGTTGGTGAGAGTTTTACTGGGACTCTGATTTGACGACCATAAAGGCATAAACTGCCTGGCCGGAGTAATTTGTATTGGAGGAGGATTGAGAGTTTTGAGATATCGTTTGCGGATCTATTTTCATCCAAATATATTCTTTGGATTGAATTGATTAGCAAACACACTTTTCTTTATAAATCATACGTGCTATTAGTCTATTTCTTTTTAGACTTGAGCATTTGGATCAATTTTGCAAAATGATAAACATTAAAGAGCTCCCAGATGGGTTTGTTAAATAAAAAGGTAAGCATATCTTATGTCCATATGTGATTTGGCCCAACTTATATTCGAGAATTACTTTTCTCGTTAAAGAACGTTCAAGCAAATCTCGAGGGGCATTTGTGGACATCTAAAATTAGTGGGCCATTACTACATGAATTAATTGGGCTACCGTGATGGTTGTTGGGCCTTATCAAGAAGGAAATAGCGACATGGATCTCTTGGGATAAAATTTATTAATTTAATTAATTTGGATCATTCAAAATATCCAATTAATTTAATTATAAAATAAATCCATAAAAGAATGGACTAGTCCTATTAATTTTGAGCTCATTATCAAATAGTGGCTCAATAATAAGAGACATGATCCAATTGATAAAGAGGTCAACGAATCTGGCTATTTGATAAAATTTATTAATTTAATTAATTTGGATCATTCAAAATATCCAATTAATTTAATTATAAATTAAATCCATAAAAGAATGGACTAGTCCTATTAATTTTGAGCTCATTATCAAATAGTGGCTCAATAATAAGAGACATGATCCAATTGATAAAGAGGTCAACGAATCTGGCTAAGAAATCCTTCCATATGCATGGAAAATAGCTATGAACCTTGTTAAAAAAGCTGTCCAAATACATCGGACAAATGTTGATTATTAAAATGCAAGCAAATAGAGCCCGAAGCCCATTTTTATTGAGGCTCATGAGGTATGGACGAATTTTGGAACCCTAAATAGGGGTCTCAGTTGAGAGGAATGGGAAGAGAACTTCCAGTCGAAGAAACGCTGCAGAAAAGCTCTGAAGAACTCCCGAAAGGCTCTGAAGGATTCCGAAACATCGGAAGATATCAAGCCACTTTTTGTCAAGAATATATGATTAATCCTTTGTGATTTTCATCTATTCTCGATCAAACAAAGTCAAAAGTTGAAGAACGTTCGAAGATCTGAAGAACAAAGCTTAAAGATTCGAAGATCTGAAGAACGAAGCTTTGAAGATTCGAAGATATGAAGAACGAATCTTTGAAGATTTGAAGATATTCATATGAAGATTGAATCAAAATTCAATTGAAGATCAAGCCATATATCCCGGGAGGCCCTTAAACAGAAGATTAAGCCATAAAACGGCCCTTTTGTTGAAGATCAAGCCACTTGAAAACCGGAGGTCCTTCAATTTGAATTCTTTATTCAAGAAGATTTGAAGATCTGAAGAACGAAGATTCGAAGATCTCAACAACGAAGATTCGAACAACGTTCGAATATTTGAAGGATTAGAGATTTAATTTTAAATTAAATTCTTTAATTATAGTACTTCAAATTGCAAGTGAAGAATCAGAGGATTCATATTTAGAGATTGTACCCAATATTTTCATATATTATTATTTGCGATCAATTTTAAGTAAATACTTAAAATTTGTTTCACAAATACATTAACAAATAAGTAGTGTATAAATGATAGAGTATAACCAAGTAACCAACAACACTAGATCCTTCAAAAAATAACCAATAATAGTAGAACTATACATGGCTAATATTTTGGTGCACTATGTGGCTATTTTGAAGAATATTTTAGTTTTAATTTTTTAGTTTACTTTATGTTTGTTTTCTGGCTCTAACTTACAAATTGTCTTTTTAAAATTGTTTCCTTAGGATTTGAGTTTTTAATAATTTATTTGAAGATGAATGATGAATTTGTTTTTTTTAATCAAATAACTAATTTATTATTAAGCGATAGCAAAAATACAAGAGAATGAATAGCCTGAGGCTACAATGGGATGAGACATAGAACGGAACAGATTCAATGAATCCTTCCAGATCGCTAACCCCGCAATAATGTAGTCTAGTCTAACAGCCTTGCTGATCTTCTTGCTACTCCAAAGAGATATTAAAAATTACAACTAAAAGATTCGGCTTCACCAGTCACCGGAAAGAGAGAATTGGTTTGACCATCAACCAACAAAGGGAAATCAGTCGAGTAGAAATTTCTTGAAGCATCGGTTTGACCAGCCACCGAAAAGGAGATCCGCTTGATCATCATCATCTTCCCACGGTGAGGCGGTGGTTCAGGTGGTGGGCGAGTATTTAAAACATCAAAACAACAAGGTTGAAAAAGCTTCACCAGATCGATTACACCGATTAGAATAACATACCACACGCTCACATGAAGCGGACAAAATTCTCGGCCAATGAAGAAGCCGGACCAAATTCCTTGAAAATAGAAATTGAAAGAGAGCGAAAGCATAGAAAAACATTTGATTCGATCTTTCATTGCATAGAGAATGTCTTCATCTTCCAAAATCGGATCTTGAAGAGGGTTGGGGATGGCCGCCTAGGATTTCCCCTTGGGCCGGCACTCTATCACGCTTGACTATGCTTCGGTCTTAACCTTTCTATTATGAGCAATTATTATGAATTTGTTAATGATAGTTTAACTATGTTCACTAAGAATTTTTGTTAACAATAATTTTTTATCTCTTAACGATGAGTTTATATTGTCAAATTCAGTTGACTAATTAGCGTAATGCATTTGATTTTTTGTAATTTAATACTATGTCCCACTGAGATTGAGATAAGAGAAGGTCGCACGATTATTAAGAATAGTGGGTTTGTGTAGTTGATATTAAATTGATAAAGTAAAAATAGAGTAAGAATGATTTCAAGGCACACAAACTTTACCAAATTTGGTATGAGACAATCTTAGTGAGATTTTCCGAAAATGTAAAATGGGACAATCTTAGTAGGACGGAGGGAGTAATACTTTGTGCAATTCACTTCAATTAAATCTCATTGCTATTTTATTATTTAAGAATTATATTGAGATGTTAATAATTAGGGGAATTTGATTTTTTTTTTTTGAAAGTATAGGGGGATTTGATTTTGAATATCATATTTTGATTAATAGTGGATTTACACCTCATCAGGTCAAAAATTGTGAAGGAGTGAAGTACAAAGTCAAATGATTTGATTGTTAAATGACTTTACTTTGGATTGAATGCTACTATTGTTTGTTTTCATTTTATTTTATTTTCATTTTCTCCTGCCCCCCCCCCCCAATTTCCTTGTACTTTGCGCTTTTTATTAGAATTTCCTATTTTCCTTTTTGCAAAAAAAAAAAAAGGTTAAATAAGTTGCATACATTAATAATTTTTAAAATTAGGTGTGAAGTCAAATATCACTCACAAAATGCGGTGCAACGTCAATTTCTCCGTGATAATTTTTGTTAGCATTCTTTAATAATTATTAGTTGTAATCCAGCCCATTCCTTATTCTTGTCCTGGCTACGCCCCTGTTCCATACATCAAATAGATTTTTTCCATTGTGTTGCGATGGAGATGCTTTAATGCTTTGAAATATTGGCTTTCGTATTTCTCAACAAAGTATATAGGCATTTGCTTGATTAAATGATGTCGAGGTTGTGTTCACCGCCTATGAGGTATTTGGTCAAAATGGGAAGCCGCGTTCACACTAGTGACACGTTTTTCCCTTCTCTTGTATACTAGTTATTTTATCGCGCGATGCGCAAGAGTATAATGCCCAATTTTAAGTGCCGTATAAATCTTAATTCTTTTATAATACATCGTATGAGTGTTGAGTGTGTTACAATGACACATTTAAGAGTCACCGAAAGGATAGTAAAAGCATATTCGGATGGGAACCTATTTTCTAAACATCTCTTCCTACATAACTTGAAGAGGTGCTTTTGTTAAAATAGTTATATCAAATAAAGTGATGTCTTGCCGTCATGGTTGTTAATACCTCAATCGCATACTTTGTTCCTGTATTTGATAAGATATAAGATTTTATAGCATGATCGGTTAATTATTCCCATTTTCGATAACAAATAGTCATATCTTGTTGCTTCTTAAAAAATCACGTTCAGACATAGTTACAAATAGGCGTGGACCCGGTTCGGGCCGCCCGGCCCGGCCCGCCACTGTGCGGGCCCGGAACCGGCCCGGTTCTCGGGTCCGGGTCCGGTTCGGGCACAGACCCGGTCGGGTAAGCGGGACCGGGCTCGGGTCCTGATTTTGGAGGCCCGGCCCCGGGCCTAACGGTCCAAATTTTAAAATTTTTTTTTTTTTTTTTTTGCTTCTTTTGGTGGCTCAACGGTCACCCAAATGGCTATATAGCCGTTGGGTGGTACCGGGGGGGGGGGGGGTCAGGGGGCTTTGGGTGGGGGGGTGGGGTGGGGGTTGGGGTTAAAAAAAAAACCTATAAATACTCCTAATTTTAAACATTTTTTCACACCTCTTCTCCAACTCTACCTAAATCCTACTCTCTACTCATCTCCAATTCTCCATATTCATCTTCTCAAATTCTCTTATTCTCCTTTATATTTTATTTTACTATTTAATACTTATACAATTATTATATCTACTTATATATATTAATTATCTACTTATATATTATTATCTACATATACTATATTACTTATATTTCTTATCTACTTAATCTCTACTTATATCTCTTAATACATACATACATACTATATCTACTTAATATATACTTTATATAATAAAGTATTAAATATACTTTATAAACTATTACTATATACTTAATACATAATAATATCTACTTCTCTACTTATATTTTATATATACTTATTTTCCAATCTCCAATTCTCCATTATACTCTAATATTTAATTCTTATACAA